GTGTGCATGCGTGCGTGCGTGCGCGTTTCTGCGAGCGTGCGTGCGTGCGCGTTTCTGCGAGCACGTGTGCATGCGTGCGTGCGTGCGCGTTTCTGCGAGCGTGCGTGCGTGCGCGTTTCTGCGAGCACGTGTGCATGCGTGCGTGCGTGCGCGTTTCTGCGAGCGTGCGTGCGTGCGCGTTTCTACGAGCGTGCATGCGTGCGTGCGTGCGCGTTTCTGCGAGCGTGCATGCGTGCGTGCGTGCGCGTTTCTGCGAGCGTGTGTGCAGGCGTGCGTGCGTGCGCGTTTCTGCGAGCGTGCGTGCGCGTTTCTGCGAGCGTGCATGCGTGCGTGCTTCTGCGAGCGAGCGAGCGTGCTTGCATGTGTGCGGGCGTGCGCGTTTAACTAAAGAATTACGTGACAACTATTCAGTACGGCAATTCATTATGGTAATAATTTATGAAGGCATCTACAGGGCCGGATCTAGCTTTCAGGGGACGGTGGGGGTTGATATTTGAGTGAAGGCGTGCTGAAGGCAAGCGGTGCTAGGGTGGCCCCATTTTACTAGACTGTATCATAACATCAGAAGTTAATAATAATAAATTATCTATATTAATAATCTATAATCATTGTGAGATTATTGTAACATGTGCCATCACGGGCCCAATAGGCAATAGGCGGCGCCATTTACTTCCCGAAGCCAGTTGCATTCTACAACGTGGCAGGCTGGACTGTGGTGGAATAAAAATACTTTATTAAAAATCAGATTATATATGTTACACGTCAGCTCTTCCGTCTTTACTTTAGAAATACAACAATTATTCACTCCTGATAACATTAGTCAGTGGCTGAACTGGGGGGTTGCAATAAACCCCTTTCTAGGCCTGACACTGACCTGGTCGGTTAGCTGCTGCCGCCGCACACTTGGGCTCCGTATCTGCCGCCGCTCCATTCTCCGGACATAGAGGCTTCATCATCTTCATCTTCACCTTCGATTCATCTGTCTTCTCAGCAGAGTAAGCTAAAATATGGAAGTCGCCTATGAATTTCTTTGGGATCTTTTGTTTCTGATCGTATAATCTACTGACACATGAACTCGTTCTCAAATTACGCGCATCGTACTAAATGTAATAATTCGCAAAACTTACATATATACAAAATGTGCTTACTCGTGTATAAAGTGGAATATATGCACTGGTGCGCAACAATTTGCAATTCGCTCATCCAGATCTGCCCTCTTACAGACGCACAGGCTATACAGGACTGATATATACCAATATGTTCTGCTTGCATCTATGATAAATACGACATACGCATATACGCTCTCCTATGACACTATTCTTCCTATGACAAATATTGGCGAGTCAACTTCGTTCCGCTTTACAGCTGAAATTCACTGCTTGCGTTCATAATAGCGCTCCTAAACTCCTATGATGCGCACAACACATACAACAATATTTGTCATAGGAAGAATCTTCCTATGACAAATAGTGCCATAGGAAGAATCTTCCTATGACAAATAGTGTCATAGGAGAGCGAATATGTCGTAGTTGTCATAGATGCGAGCAGAACATGTTGCATATACGTACATATCTCACTGTCGGCGCCGTATCGCACTCGGCACATTTTGTAGAGTGGGCAGCGGCTCCAGACGACGCAGGTGATGCCGACGACGACCAGCACGAGAACGGACAGCACCACAGACACGGCGATAACGATGGCATCCCTGCAACGTACGTAAATATATGCATACACACTCGCTCACTCACTCACTCATTCACTCACTCACTCACTCGATCGATCGATCGCTCGCTCGCTCGCTCGCTCGCTCACTCACTCACTCACTCACTCACTCACTCAGTCGAACGATCGCTCGCTCGCTCACTCACTCACTCACTCACTCACTCACTCACTCACTCACTTACTCACTCACTCACTCACTCACTCACTCACTCACTCACTCACTCACTCACTCACTCGCTCGCTCGCTCGCTCACTCACGCACTCCCTCACTCACTATCTCACTCGCTCGCTCACTCACGCACTCCCTCACTCACTCGCTCACTCGCTCACTCACACACTCATGCAATGACAACTAGCAATTCTCCATTCACTCCCAACGCATTGCTCACGCATTTCGTCACCCACGCTATCTCAGTAGTATGGCAATATCTCTTTCACTCGTTTCCCCCATTTCCTACACTATTTAAGTAATTTTCATTACATTCAATTTACTCGCTAATTTCTGAGAAATAGTTCGATCTTTTATCCCCTTAGTTCTTTTCTTCTCTTATCTCTCTGAATTAGCTCGATTTTTATTCTTTTATTTTCCTTCACTGCCTCATTTCTGTGCAATAGTTCGATCTATTAGTTCCTTAATTTCCTTTATTCCCTTATTTCCGACTATTAATTGTTTGATCCTGGATTGCCATGATTTCCTCAAATCCGTTATTTCCCGTGATATCCGCGTAACGATCGTACTAGTCCGTACTGCCACTTACTCTCCGTCTCTCTCTCTCTCTCTCTCTCTCTCTCTCTCTCTTCCGTCTGATCACTATAGATGGTAGGAGTGTAAACGAGATAACCGCGACGAGACGATAGAGAGTAAGAGAGAGAGAGAGATGAGAGAGACGCAGAGAGAGAGAAAGAGAGCGAAGAGTAGAACGAGAGAGAGAGCGAGAGGAGAGAGAGCAGAGAGGAGAGGAGCGCCGAGAGAGAGAGAGAGAGGCGAGAGAGAGAGAGAGAGAGAGAGAGAGAGAGAGAGAGCGAGAGAGAGGAGAGAGAGAGAGCGAGGGAGAGGCGAGAGAGCCCAGAGAGAGACAGAGAGCGAAGAGCGCAGAGAGAGAGAAAGAAAGAGAGCGAGAGCGAGCAGCAGAGTAGAGAGAGAGAGAGAGAGAGAGAGAGAGAGAGCAGAGAAGAGAAGAGAGAGAGAGAGAGTCGGCGATAGAGGCCGGACAGTACCACGGCACGGACACGACCATGAGGGATGGGAGAAGGTGAGTAGCGCAGGGGAACGAGAGAGCGGGGGAGCAGGAAGAGGCCGTGCAGCGGGCCGAGAACAGGCACCGCCCCGGCAGGCCTCCGAATATTGCGCCGACCCTTCGCTCGGAAAACGTACGGCAATGGCGTGCGCCACGGTCGCTCGGCCGGTGGCCTACAGCCACGAACTTCCTATCGCACACAATATTCGTTGTACTGTGTCTGTTCCGCCCGCATCATTAGGAGTTTTCAGAGGCGAGCTGTTATGACGCAAGCCAGTGAAATTTCCAGCCTGCATAAAGCCGAAAGCAAGCTAACGGCTCGCCACATATCTTTCCGCTAGGAAAAATACCTTCGCTACTGATTAGATAGTGCATACGGAGAACGTTACCATGCCGCTATGCGTATGTTTGGTGCATCCACCGGCATGCTAGCACGCAGGCATGCCTTCCCACATGATAAAGCGGGTATTGAACGAGCGCACACCGGCTAGAAGAGCGGCGCATAGCTACGCGACCCGCCGACGGTAGAGCGCACGCTATCACGTACACGCTGTGCTCTCCGCTCCAACGAGCGGTATTAGTTGAGTCAGAAACGGAGGACTCGATCAGGCCGATTAGTCCTATCCCGAACGACGAGGGACTGAAGTCACTACGTAGTTACTTAGCCTTAGAAGAACGAGGACTCCGATCGACAGGAGCGTAGTTCCAGTTATCAAAGAACAGGACCTGATCAAGCTTTGGCGTATTACTTACTCAAGAACCCAGGACTGACTCAAGGACGCGGTATTCTTATCAGAACGAGACTGATCAGAGCGGCCGTTTCGGTTATCAAGACGAGGACTGATCAAGGAGGCGTATTACTGGTATCAACAGCGAGGACTGATGAGAGCGGTCTTACCGCGGTTATCAAGGAGCGAGGACTGATCCCAAGGAAGCGTTTCGCTTTACCTGCCCACCGAGCGACGGACCGCGTGATCACAGGAGCGGTTTAAGTATGCCCTTAATACAGTAGCACATCCGGCTTGCACCTCACTTCCGCGGCCAGGCTCGGATCGACTCCGTCCCTTATCGCCGACAAAATGCAAAGGCGTGGCTGCATTCAACCGCTAGGAGTGAGCACCCGACGTATAATGGCGACCGCTCCGTCCCAGGTAACACTAGGGTTTACGCCATACATTCCATAAGTCGATCGTCATCACCTGGTCAGATAGATCGATCGCTCTCTTTTCGCGCTTCATGATCCCTGCGCCGGTGCGAGGTTTACGTGGTAGGGGTCCAAGGCCGCCGTACGGCTGAACAGAATCTCCTAAGGGGGCCGGGGGCACAAACTTCTCAATCAACTCCTGGGGGCGGGCGCGACTCCGAACGTCGCGTGTGAATGGTGGCAGAGCGGGGCCCGCAATACGTTGGATCGAGACGTCCATTCCAGTGTGGTAGGGGCCCTGGGGTCCTAGAGACACCCGAGGCCCTTTCCCGCCGGCTAAGTGACGCAAAGAGAGGCACGTTAGGGGCGGTTATTTGGACGAAAATTTAGCAAGCTTATTCCTATGTAATTTGCTCCCAAAATCTAGGAGGGACAGGCTGCCGCCCCGCTTGCCCCCCAGAGGCTACGGCCCGTGGCGTCAGCATTCGACATCTCCTAGATACGTACGGAGTAACATACCACTAGCAAGGATAATCGCCACTTCACAATTCTCCGGGCCCTGACCGCCGCCACTAGGCGAGGGGAGCTGCGTGTTGTGACAGCATTCCGTTGATTGCACGAGTAAACGCCATGTCCCTGATGGAAACTCTCTCACTTGCTAAGGCGGCCCGAAAGCCAGTCGCCCGCCCAGCACTGACGTAGGGTTACGGTGCTGTTCGCATCGCGCTTCCGCCTCAGCCTGCCTGACAGGGCCGTCGCCAGGCATCTGGCCCTAAGTGAGGCCCCAGTTCACCGAAGCGGGCGCGACGGCCGCCCCTCCTTAAAGGCGCGGATAGACTGTTGAGCGCCGGTTTTCCCCCTCCCCCCCGGTGGGGCCTCCTCCCGCACAAGTTTTGTTGGGAGAATGGCGTGACAGCATCGCGAACATGGTGGTGTACGCCTAGCGAGTTTTACAAACTACGAAGATCTTCTACACCATCTGTGAGGAAGCAGAAGTAACAGAGTACACTTGGGAAACCTGCTTGTCACATTGGCTGGCAAAAGTTTAAAAATAACCTAGTCCGCGAATGGATGTTGACAGCCCAAGCTGCTCAGGTCTCCCCGCCTGCAGCGCCCACCCCGGTGCCAGCGTCGAAATAGAAGGTGGGTGAGCGAGTGCCTGACGAGTCCAGTCGTCCTAACATCCTACTCAGAGCCTGTTCCTCGCCCTAGCATCTACTGACCGAAATCCGAACGATCCCCGCCATATATACCGTCCCTACGCTGACGACTACTTGGTGTCATCAGGACCAAGAGTCTTCCTATGACACAATAGTGTCATCAGGAGAGCGGGTATACGCTGCGGACTGTCGTTAGTTTGGTCACAGATTGCAAGGCAGACCAACACGCGTTGAAGAGCATGCCTACCGCACGAGCTAAGCCGCGCACGCGCCTGGGCGCCCGGTCCCCCGGCCCGCGGACCCTAACTTTGTTAATCGGCGTAACCTAAACGGAGAACCTGCGATACGCGAACATCTGCCGACACCGCGCGCCTGCGGTCCACATCCCCCTCGCCATATAAACCCTGACCGCATCAGGGGGACCTGTCCCAGCCACTGCGCCTATGAACATCTCCGCAGCCCACGCAGGCCACGCACTTGCATCGCCCCCGGGCCCGCGACGCCACCCTGGGCCGCGGCCCCCGCCCCCCGGGCGGCGACGCGGACACTGGAACGTCTGACCCCGCTACACTCCACCGCGCAGTCGGCCGTTCATTGTCTTGACCGGTACCCGGGGGGCTATCCCCGCCAGCGGCGACCCCTATTCGGCCATCGGTGCGCACCGCCCGCGCACCGCCAGACGGGCCCGCCCAGCGCACGCGGCCGAGGGCGGCCGGCCCGGCGGGCGCGGGCGCCACAAAGAGGAACCCCAACTCTCACTCCTTATCTCAACACTCTCAGCGACACTTCGCTCGAATTCAGTTCAATGTCGCCACTCTCCCAGTTCCACTCCTCATCTTCTATTTAATTCACATTCAACCTTTAATTTAATTATTCAATTCATTCATTCATTCTCATTTATTCAGACTTCTCAGCATTCGACACCTCTCGGCTGCCCCGGCGAGGGCTATTCGCACAGTGTCCCAGTGGCTCACTCCGTGACCCTTTGTCAACCATTCCACCGGCCCCGGCTCTTAACTTACAGTCGCCGTTGCGTGGGACGGGGCACGACGAATGCCAAGCAGCGCCGCCACAGTCTCACTCACGCGCAGGGAGTAGGCGCTATAGACCGGGGCTCCACCACTCGGCTCCGAGCCGGGCCTCGCGACCCCAGGCCTAGCGTGCCCGCGCCAAACTGCGACGCCGACGTCGAGCCCCCGCGACTTCCGTCAGCCGAGCTGCTGTGAGCGACCATCGCTGGCCGGCCTGCGGCTGACCCTAGCGGCTGGCCCTGTGAGGGTCCACACGAGAGAAAGGGCATCGCGCTGGCCGTGTCGAGCTGGTCAGCCCCCCCCCCCCCGGCCCCCCCCCAAGCCCCCTCGAGGCCGCGCCGCCGGACCACGACAAGTTATGTTACACGGCACGAGCTCACGCTGGAGACAAGGCCCGAGCCGGGACCCGGCGAGCCGACCAGGGCACGCACACGCGTCGATACCGGACGACGAAGCCGACACCCATCTAGCCCGCCAGGCGGCGGCGCCGAGATCCGGGCAACGCGGACGTCACCCGAGCGGCAGCGCCGACAACCGAGCACACGACAGGCTTGCGACAAGCGACGACTCACGACAACACGACTACCCAGCGCCGCCAGCAGACAGACCGGACACCACCGGACCAACGCGACCGAGCGACCGAGGAGCCGGAGAGCCAGAAAGAAAGAGGAGCCGAGCAGAGAGAGTGTAAAATGTTTTGGGCAACGTGGTTACAAGATCATACGTAACACTAGAGTATACGTAGTCGATACGTAGCTATTTACCGACGGAGAAACGAGATAATCAGGGCACCGCGAGAGGAGGGGGACGAGGACGAGCAGGCGAGTGGCGAAAGAGAAGGCCGAGAGAGACGGAGGAGAGTAGCAGAGAGGAGAGAGAGAAAGAGAGAAGAGAGAGCGACGCGAGCGAGCGAGCGAGAGAGAGAGAGAGAAGAGCGCCCCGGTTCAGGAGAGAGAGAGAGAGAGAGAGAGCAGCAGAGAGAGAGAGAGAGACAGAGCGAGAGGAGAGAGAGATAGGGGAGAAGAGAGAGAGGAGACACCACAGAGAGAGAGGAGGAGAGAGAGAGAGAGAGAGAGAGAGAGAGCGAGACGAGAGAGAGATGAC